TTCGCACATCTGGAAATGTGGGGTTTAAAGTGTTCGCACGTCTGGAAATGTGGGGTTTAAAGTGTTCGCACGTCTGGAAATGTGGGTTTTAAAGTGTTTGCACTTCTGGAAATGTGGGGTTTAAAGTGTTCACACATCTGGAAATCTGCCCATTTCACTGAAAAGGTGAAGCTGGACGTGTCATAAACCAAAACCCCTTCTTCCAACCATATCACCCCCCCATCCTCCAGCAGCTTCCCTGGCTCCCCGTCACCCGAAAAATCCAATTCAAAATCCTCCTGACATCCAGAATACCGACTCTCTCCCTCTTTTAAAAACAAAAAACTCAAAACCCACCTGTTTAAAGTTCCCTTCTTACTTTGTGCCTCTATTGTCAGTTATTTTGAATCAGTTTACTTTCCTCCGACAGTACCGGGTGATTTTCCAAAAGCAAACGTTCCCCTCATGGGCAGCCTACATTTTCTATATAAAACCACAAATCTTCATTACATGTAACCGACCACATTCTTATTCGTATTATTTCGTCTCCTGCTGCCCCTCCAGGAGGCAGTTCTGAGGACGCCCCCCATTAATCAGCATTCATGGAGCTCTTTACGTTGAACACTTTAGCCTCTTTTTCTCACTTTGCTCCGTTTTGCGTGCATCTTTGTGCTGATTTCCTGCATCAGACGGCTTCCTTTAACCCTTTAAAGCCAGATTCAAGAAAACTAGGAAGAATATTGGATTTTTTTTTGTCTGGAGTCTTTCTTTGGCCCCTCAACAACATACTGTATGAAGAAAAAAAACAGAAATTATTTTGATCAAATTAACGCGCAATAAGTCAGTAATATATTTCGGTGTGGTCTTCTACTGGCTGTTATCAGGTATATCTGAATGTGTACAACAGGGGTTTGAGCAAAGCTTTTACCACTGAATGATGCAAAAGGTCTCAGATCCAAAAGACTACAGAAACCGTATCAAATATGATACATTTGGCATTATAGGGTTAAAGTTTCCGTCTGATCAAAACCTCTGACCAATTGACAAAGCAGCACAATCTGATGTTTTCAAATGTCACAATCTGCACGTTAGAGAACCTCCTGCTGTATCTCACTCCCCGTTTTCCCCCCCGATATGTTTTCCCCCTTTCTCAGTGGGATGACAGAGTTTAGTTCCTGGTGGAGGAAACAAACCGAGGTTCTTAATAATTTATGTCCGGGTGTCCGTCTGTGCGTGTGTTTGCAGGTTGAGGCTTTTCCGGGATGCAGTCTCTGTTCGGGGGCGGCGAGCTGGGGCTGCTGGGGGGAATATAGCATGGCAATATAGACATTAATTTAAAAATAGTTAAATGAATATTTCAAACACTTAATTAAACTCTATACATATTATGTTAAAATAGTGTATATTAAATCGGTTTGAACAATAAGTCCAAACAAGTTTAACCAAAAAATATTTATTTCTCACAATTATGAAGGCTGGAGGGTTGGGATTAGGTTCATTAATGTGGGCCACCAGTCACGATAACATCAGTAACAGGTCAGTTTGAAATGAAAGACACAATTCAGTTAAATTTTGGGGTCTTTGTTTGGTATCGAAAATGGTATCGAGTATCGAGTATTTTCCTGAGTATCGGTATCGAGGTGAAAATTTTAGTATCGTGACAACCCTAGACGGCAGAGTTTAGTTCCTGGTGGAGGAAACAAACCGAGGTTCTTAATAATTGATGTCCGGGTGTCCGTCTGTGCGTGTGTGTGCAGGTTGAGGCTTTCCCGGGATGCAGTCTCTGTTCGGGGGCGGCGAGCTGGGGCTGCTGGGGGGGGGCGGCGAGGGCGGCGGCCTGAAGGAGGACGGCTGCGGCAGCATGGCCTGGAGAGCCTCGCCCCTCCCGCCCGAGGACGTGTACTCGGCCTCGCACTTCGCCCTCATCACCGCCTACCAGGACATCAAGACCAGGCTGGGCAGCCTGGAGCGGGAGAACTCCAGCATCAAGAGGAAGCTCAAGATCTACGAGATCAAGGTAGGAGACCTCAGAGTCCGATACTCCGCTGTTTTTTTCTGGGATCCGACAGTTTTTCGGCTGGTTTAGCTGATTCATTTGAAGTAATTTGACTGGTTTTTACACGTAAGCGCTGTTAAGGTTTCTGCCTGGTTCCACCTTAATTCCTCCCGGTCCTTATGGAGACCTTATGGAGACTTGGAAAATGAACAGAAGAGGTCTTTAACTCATTGACTGCCAAAGACGTCTATAGACGTCTTTTATGTTTTTCAACTTGAGTGGCTTGGGGGACGATCGGCTAAAGCTTGTCCGTAAATATCAGGCTTCTAGACAGAGTATGTAGTAACAAATTGACCCTCTAGGGGGCAGTGCCACTTTTGATGGGAGATGAGCATAGACACTAGGCAAATAAGAAAAAGGTAACGGTTCGCTATGAGAGAACATGTCGCCGGTGAGACGCAAGTCGAGAAAGAACGGAATAAGGTAGAAACAATTTTTTTTTCCTGATGAAAGAAGAGAGTCTACTCTTTCTTTTGGTGTGTTCGGTGTTTACATAGTCACAGCACAAACTATTCTGAGGCTCTTGAAAAATCTGTCGAAATGCTCAAAAAACTCTGGCAGTCAATGAGTTAATCAAAAGGACAGAAACGCTCCACGTGGAGGCAGACGGTTAGGTTCCAGCTATTATGTTAATGAATTATGTCAATAAAATGTAAAAAAACAGTCCATATTTATAGGTTTTTAGGTGTCAAAACACAATGAAAAGCCAATGTTGCCTTAACAGGGTTTTAACATGCCTGGTTTCAGCCTTATTTAGAAAGCAGGTTACTTATTTGTGATGATGTTTCAGGATTTTACCTGATAATTAAGCACAAAAAAAAAACGGTAGATGTTCAGAGACAAAAAGCTAAACAAGCCCAAATGTTAGTGGTACAATGTGGAGAGCCAGAGGTAAGGAGACAGGTTTATTTCTTATAAAATGATGATAAAAGCAGAGCCCTGAGTGGCCCCTCCCATCATCTAAACAGGAAGTCATTAATTTGTACTTCCTTCTGATCCTGTAACCCAAAGGGAGTTCATAAATAGCCAAACAGGATTAAAACCAAAAAGACAAATGACTTCATAAATACTTGTGAGTCTGCATTTAGCAGAAGATGAAGTATTTTAACTAAATAAGGCCAAATCAAACCCGGGATAGTGATAATATGCTGAACACTAATAGAATAAAGGCTAAATACTCAAATCAAGGCTGCGATTGCTGTTGGTTTTGATGCCGTCTCTCCCCAGTTTGTCACAAAGACCCAGCGTGACAAAGAGTGGAATACAGAAAGCAAACCAATAACTAATCAACAACAGAAAAGCAACGAGTGCCGCCAACGCCTGACAAAAGAAGCCGGCGGGTTTTGTTTGCTCTCTTTATTCAGGCGTCTGAGCTTCCAGTCCTGTTTTCCTGTTTGTTCTGGTTTTATTTCTCATTTTAGGTTCAGATTTCAGCATGTTTTTTCCAGCTTAAGTTTGTCTTCTGTCCTCTTTTGGGTCGTCTCCTCTCCTCTCTAACATGAAACATAAAAATCAGACAGAACCCAGCACAAGAAAAACCACAACCGGGGTCTAAAAAGATCCAGAATCAGGTTTTCGAAGACTTCTGGAACAAAGTGGAGATGTCCGGTCAGAAAAACAGCTCAGAGCAGTTTTCGGCACGGTGGGGGAGGAATGATGATCTGGGCTGACCCTCTAAAGAGGCTGAAACTGTAAAGTTCTCAGACTAACTCCAGGTTTTTGGGGCCTGAATGGAGCTCCAACAATCCTTTAAAAGCTCAATCAGCAAATAAAACCATCTGAGTCAGCTTTTCTGAACACGATATAAAGCTGAATGCTGATTTCTGTAATCTGAAGGATGGAAGATGATCAGTGTGCTGCCCTGAGTTAGAGGAAATAAGGTGGAAACCGTCCAGAAAGTGGATAATCCACCTTAAATGAGGCCTCCTGCAGAGCGTACATCAGAAGTGGTGAATTCCTTTACAGAAAAAGGAGTAAAGGACAATACCAAAGGCTTTTCTTTGTGAAAAAGACTCTATTACTTTTTCCCAAACTGGCAGGAGGTTGATTTTAGCAGTTGGCTCCGGTCTGTTGATCCATTATGTTCCTCCAATCTCCTGCCAAGTACTTTTTGAAGCCTTTTAAAAAAAAAAAAAAACAGTTTCCAACAATGGCCTCCCAGATGATTCTGCATGACAACCCATCTGGTGCGTCAGGTTAATAGATGACAAAGCAAATCCTGACATTTGAGAATCTGGCTCTTTTGCTCATTTAGCCGAAAAGATAATCCCAACATGACTTCATTAGATAAAAATCAAATCAGCAAATCAATGATGGCTTCATTCTTAAGGCGGTTTTTCAGTTTTTCCTGTTTTCTCAGCCTTTGCTGTCGCCTTTTAAAAAACATATTTGTTCTGACTTTAATAAGAGCTTCTCATAACCCAGATTAAGTAGTTTTTTCTCCACAGAAAAGAGCCCAGAACGAGGTCCTGCAGGGGCCCTAAGGCCAGTGTAATGGACAGCAAAGCCTGGACTTCAAAGTCTGTCCTTTGAGTCCAGATTCTCCTGATTATCTCAGTGTCGGTACATGAAAGTCCAGAGCTAATCAGACCAAGCCTCAAACATTCCCACCGGTTTTTGGTGGCTGTGTGAGCCTGGATGTGTTCTTTATTAATTTCTGAATGTGCATGAAGACCAGTTTAAAGCAGGGGCTGCTTTAATTTGACTAAATAAGCAGAATAGTTACAGTGGGGGAAATGAATATTTGACCCCTTGCTGATTTTGCAGGTTTGCCCACTTACAAAGAATGCAACGATCTATAACTTTAATCATATGTACAGTGGAAGACAGAATCCCAAAGAAAATTCCAGA